TCAGCACGTGGCCTGTGGGGTGAAAACTTCTGCAGCCTCCCCTCATCACCCCACCCACTGCCTCCCCCTGTCACCGTCATGTGGCATCTGCAGAGTCCTTAACAATCCGCCCCAGCACCCACCCTGTTGGCAGCACTTGCTCTAATGCTCAGCTAATAGTTCTGTTTCAGTCGCTTGTCCACGCATTCCATAAATCAGAATCCAATTACTGTGGTAGGAAAATTGGAAGCAAATTTAATAAGCTCAGACCCCTCCCACAGGCTGTTTCTTCACTCTTGTCTTCTCAGTAATGAGAACTCTTTAAGAGAAAAAGCCTTTTTCCTTTAAATCTGAGTCATATGACGCCCCTGCAGATGGAAGGAGGAGGAGAAGGGGCTCCTTTCAGCTCCTCTTTCCTCTCCACACGTAGGGCAGGTGGGAGAGTGATCATTGTCTTTCCAGCCTTACTCTCGCTTTCATTTGTTCCACAAGCACATAGTGAATTCCTATCACACGCCAGGCACTGTACTAGATGCGCGAAGTGTTACTCACCATAGAGGGCAATTGGTGTCATGCCCAGTAAGACCTTAGCTGCAAGGCATTATGGGAACACAAAGGTGACCCAGCAGAAGCAAAGCCTGTATCAGTGGGGTTGGGTCCCACAAAAGATCCAGGAGCCAAAAGTGGGCCAATGGCCATGGGGTCCGAAGTGGCCCCAAAGTAGGGGCTTCTTGGTAGAGGTAATGCCTACTGATGGGAGAATGACAGGACATGGATCCTGTGGGTGAAGGAACTGGGAGAAGGGGGGAGGGGCAGGAAGGAACCAGAAAAGCCAAATCCTCCACTGGGCCTGAGACAGAAGTCATGTCACTTGGACAGAGGAAGAGGGCTGCAGCCTATGGGGTGGCCTTAATCCAGGGCATCTACTCTCTACTTAAATCCTGAGCCTTTTGGCTGGACCAAACCGCCCAGGGACTTCTTCTGGTCCACAAAAGCAAGCCATACATGCAAGTTGACGCCCTGTGGTTTCCAGTCTTGAGCAGGCATCAGAATCACCTGTGGTGCTTGCTAAGACACAGAATGCTGGGCCCCACCCCTGGAGTTTCTGATCCAATAGTTCTGGGTGAAGCCTAAGAATCTGCATTTCTGACAAGTTCCCAAGAGATGCTGATGCTGCTGGTCTGCTGGTCTGCTGGTCTGGGAACCAGACTCTGAGGACCAGTGTTCTAAGCCCTTACTATTCAAAGTGTGACCCATTCCAGTGGCATTAGCATCACGTAGGAGCTTGTCAGAAATGCGGAATCTCAGCTCCATCCAGACCTATTGAACCAGATTTTAACAAGATCCTCAGATGATTTGTTTGCCTATTTCAGTTTGAGAAGCACTTACGCAGGGCAATGGTTCTCAGTCCTGGCTGCTCATTAGAATCACTTGGGGAGCTAAGGCAAGAGATATTTCTGCTGGCTGAAGTCTGGGTATCAGCATTTTTAAAAAGCTCCCCAAGTGATTCTTACAGGAAGCCTGGATGGAGAACTGCTAAGGACAACACTCGTGACCGACACTCCACACCCATAGAAGTTTGATTCCACTCACTTCCATTTCTCTGGCATTGAACCTGACCTTGCAACCCACCTCTGTTCTCCCCTACCCCCACCACCACACCTGACAATTTGGTGATCTTAACGCCCCTTCCTGGTACTTGGGATATTGGTGCTTCCTCAGTTCTGGGGTTCAATAGCATCTCTTGACTGAACATCTTCAATTTTCTGGCAGAGACCTCCCCTTCCCTTCTAAATCCTGAAGTATCAGCCTGCCCACATGCCCTATAACAATAGCAACAATGAAATTTTTGAAATATTTATTATGGAGTAGGTAAATACATTTATTTTATTTGATCTTTACAAAAACTGAATTAGGTAGAATTATTATTGTTATTTTCATCCCTATTTTTCAAAAGAGGAAACTGAGGTAAGAGAAGCTAGGCAACTTACCTAAGTTCACTCAGCTGGTCAGCAGCACAGGCAGGATTGGAAACAGGACAATCTGATCCCAGAGTCCCTGTCCTTAACCCCTGGGATGTACTGCCTTCTGGTAGATTCTGCTTTACAGAGGTTTGTCCTCATCCTATTGCTGGCAATAAGGTTGATAATGCATGTGTACATTTCATTTTTGAGAACTTAGGTGAAAAACAGGGCTGGATTTACAGCAGTGGTTCTCTGCAATTTTGCCCACCCACCCCTAGGTGACATATGGTAATGTCTGGAGACATTTTTGGCTGGCCTAACTTGGGGGGTGCTGCTGGCATCTAGTATGTAGAGACCAAAGATGCTACTAAACATCCTACAATGCACAGGACACCGCTGCAACAAAACATTATCCAGCCCAAAATGTCAATAGTGCTGCTGTTGAAAACCCCTGGTCTACAGGATGTAGGTCACCAGCAGCCATAGCTGGTCAAAGCTGAGGCAGGCATGGCCCAAAAATGAGCCCCACGGCTCTGTCACCCCAGGCAGCCAAGCCCCGGGCATTGCATTAGGATGAAGTCAGGATACAGCAGAGAGAATGGACTAAGAAACTTAGCTGGTGTCTCCAACCTCACAGCCATGGTTTCCCTGAGAAGCAAGGGCTGCACATGGGAGATCTGTAGGTAGAAGGTCACCACCCAACACGTCCATCTGAAGAAAGAACACAGGACTTTGATAGAAGTCTTTGGAGCTCTCATCACACAAGGGTGACGCCAGCACAGGACTGGCACTCTACCAAACTCAGCCTGGAGAGGGCTGATCCACTCATGGCCTCTCACAGTGTAGCCTGGGGCTTGGCACCCAGTAGGTGCTCAGTACCCACAAGACGGCTGCTGGTCCCCAGTGCTTGCCCTCATTCTCAATCCCCTGACCTTACCCCTTTCCACTTGTTAGAGTGAGTTCCATAAATCTGAAATTCTCTGAGCAACACCATGCCAGTCCCTTCAGGGCCAGCCCGGCCCAGTGCCCTGATGCAGACATATGGCTGATCCACTTTCTCTTTCTGTCTTCCCAAAGGGTGTCTGGATTCCATCTAAATCCTCTCTTCTCTTCTTGCTGCAACCCCAGCAGATGACACTTCCTAAACAGAGGGCTCACAGTGGGTTAGGTGCATAGCCAGAACTGGACCTGGGGAGCCGGGCTCCTTGAGGACAGGCCCGGTTCTTCATCAGCTCCCACCACATATGCCCTGCCCTTGTAAAACTTTCATTTCTGCCTCTCAGGTCACAGAAGAGGGGAAGTGCAGAAATTAGTCCCGCTCAGGGTATCCCCGAGTACCCACATGCTCAGTGAGTTCCTTGTACTCCTTTCTGCAGGTGGGAGCATTGTCCCTTGGAGGGCTCTCACCCAGATGCTCCAGCAACTTTCCAGGCTAGGAGGCATCACTTCATCCCTCAGGAGGGCCTGGGCATCTGGACCCGGGACAAGAGAGGAACCACCCACCTGAGACCCAGTGGGGCTTCTCAGCCACCTGTCCCCTCCCTCTTCCATTCTCTCCTATATGTAGTTCCTGCTCAGGTGAATACAATAACCTAATATCTAATTAAAATTCTCTCAGATGCCAATAAGTGGGATAAGGGCTGTGGGACTTAAATAGGACTTTAAGAAGCTCTCAGCCAGCAGAAGGGAGAACACTCCTTAACCCATGCCCTGTGTCTCTGACTGTAGGGGACTGCTCGGCGCTGCTACTGAGGAAGAGTCTCATGGGTACCTAGAGGGGAGAGTGAAATTCGCACTGTCAGAGTTAGAAGAAGCCATAATATCATCTGGTTTATCCCTCTTGCTATACTCATGGTTAGACCAAGACTCCAACTCCTTTCAGGAATGATGACGATTAATAAGATCTGGTTGAGTCCCTCCGTAGGATACATGCTGTATAAGAGGAGGTTTCTAAATTGTGCAACCTGGGTGGGAAAACGGAGTCCACTAGCCTCCACGTAGTACCAGCTTAAGAACCACCAGAGTAATCAGCCTCATAAGTCATGAAAATTCTTACACTCTTGCTCATAAACCTCAGTGTCCCCAATGTGGGTACCCAAACAAATACAGAAAGCTAAGACGCTAACGCCAGTACTACGTCCTCTCGGTTTGACACTGCCTTCAAACCCCTCTACCCCCAGCATGCCAGTCTGCTGTTTGGGACCAGTGCAAAGTCAATTTCCTGCAGCAGGGTCTTTGGTACACCTGTGCCCCCAGCTGGGAGGCCAGGAGTCTGGGAGGGGAGGAGCTGGGGTTGAGACTGACCTGCTTACTAGGCCTCACCAGTGAGCACAAGGGCTGCTATGACTCTAGGAGGGGTTGGTAATAAGGTGAAGTGTCTTCACAAAGCCTCTTTTTGCTGGGAAATAAAGCTTTCCGTGCAGTGCTAGGCCCGATCTCTGCAACCCACTGAGGTGTGGGGGCTGCAGGACGGGGGCTGTGGGAGTGGGCTCCTCTTCAGGCAGAGAGCGGGACCAATGGCAAGTGAAGAGACCCTGCTAGCTTCCCTTCTCATGTGGCAAAACACACATGGGCTGTCACAGGAAGGGTCTCTCCCAGTTGGTTGACAGAAGAGACAACCAACCTGACTTCCCAGGGGCCTACCTGTCCTGCCCTCGCCCAGTTTGAAAGCCTGGCCAGACTGTGGGAATCTGCCAGGGAAATACAGGCCTTGGCTGTAGCGTTCTTAGTGCTCCATGAGTTCATGGCAAGTGTCACTGAGGCTGACCACCAGGTGAGGGGCAGGTGCTGGTGAAGGAGGCCTCCCAGCCTCTCCAGCCTGCCAGTGGGAAGTGGGGGCTTTGGGATGACTAGCAGCAATGAGCAGTAAGTGGCACAGACATGGTAAATCACCATGTCCTAATCTCTTTAGCGTCCAAATGGCAGCCAGTGGTTTGCCTGCCCCAGTTCTTGGCACGGGCACCACACACGGTAGGCCCCCAAATCAAGGCTGCTGTTGACACTCTGCAAGTGCGGGGAGGGGCCGAGGGGCAGAGGAGTGGGAGAAGGAGGAGGTACCTCGAGTGGCGAGTGTCCGGGACTGCCCGATTGCTGGAGATCCGCTCGCTCTCCCGCTGGTTGAAAGCATACAGCTTATAGGGGTCATCACCAAGGCGCCACTTTTTGGCATTCAGATATCGCCGCTCATCAAACTGGTCCCACAGGTCGTCCCAGTCAGCATCTGAAGGCTGTGTGACAGGAACGGGAAGTCTGTGAGAACGGCTCCCTGCCCTCTGCTAGCCCCCTCGGTCCGGCTATCAATACCCAACCACAGAGACCAAGGTTTGGCTCAAAGACGGGGTCAGAGGCAGAACATTAATAAAACCATCAGCAGCAACAGTAACGAGTGCAACAATGACAGAACCCGCTGCTACCACTCACTGAGCACATGTACCGGGAGCTGTTCCAGGCCCCTGCCTCACATTATTTCATGTGATTATCAGAGCAATTCTATAAGCCGGATATTGCACACAGTCCCATCATATAGATGAAAAAATAGCTTGAATGGTTGAGTGCCTTGCCCAAGATCCCACAATTAAGAAGTGACTCTCAAATTCTAGTGTCCCAACCCCAGAGGCCATCTCTCCAGTGCAATTTGAGAACAGCTGGTCTAAAAGTGCTGGTCCAGCAGCTGGCACAGAGTAGGTACACAGCGATGGTCATTTTCTCCTCCTCTGCTGTAGGAAAGGCAGCAACTGGAAGTAGGGGATCCATCCATAATGGTGTGCTACCCACCAGACGCCCTGTCTGGTCTTTATTCCTCCAGCCCAGGAATCTGTGACTACCTTTAAGAAGCATCAGTGGAGGAGTGAGTAAAAACGGTCACCACACGTGGATACAGCACTTTACAACGTATAAGGCAGTGTCCATATTTAGGATCTCTTTCCTCCTCATCAAAACCCTCTGAGCTAAGTAGGGAAGATGGGGTTCCAGAAAGGCTACTAGCTTGTTTGAGGTTGCACAGGTGGAAAGTGGCAGAGCCCAAAGCAGAACTTAGTCTCCTGGGCCCCTCCAGTGGAAGAGGTGAGGGGATGCCTCCTAGCTGGAGTCCAGGCTGCCAGTCAGCCCCACACCAGCTCTGCAGCCCACAGAGACTCTCCACACAGCCAGCAGGAGGTTTGGGCTTCCCGGCCTCAGCAAGCTGGATGTTTACATTTAGCAGCCATTTCCCAGTGGATATTAGCATTCTCACCACAGGGAAGAGCTGGTTTGTACCCCAGAATGCTCAGACCTTACAGATTCCCAGTGGATGTTAGCATTCTCACCACAGGGAAGAGCTGGTTTGTACCCCAGAATGCTCAGACCTTACAGATTCCCAGTGGATGTTAGCATTCTCACCACAGGGAAGAGCTGGTTTGTACCCCAGAATGCTCAGACCTTACAGATTCATCTGCTGATCAGGTTCTGACCTGGAATGTAGGGCTGGTGTCCTGGGGCTAGCATTGTCCCTGAGGATGAGATGCTCTTTCATGTGTTACTGACCCTAGTTGTTGGGCAAGTGTGTCAAGCTGCCCAGATACCAAAGCTGAAAGCTGCCCACACCATCATAGAGCAGGATGCACTTCCTGAACCCGGGAAACCTGACCAGGAAGGCCCAGAGCAGGCTCAGCAGACAGCAGCACAGGCGCGTGGCACACATGGTAGGCGAGGGGCCACCTGCCAGCCTGCACGTTCATCTCAGGCACCACAGCGATCTTATCTGGTAATGGATCTCTCTCTCTCTTTATCTCCTTTTGAAACAGCATTCTGCTGCTAATAGCACAAAATGAAGCTTTGGAAACCAGTGATTTTTATCTAATAATTGATTTTATTAATGTCCCGTGATACTGTTGCTACAGAACATGCTAGAAGGAATTTGAGTGGGGGCATGAAACTCCCAGCATTTGCTGTGCAATGTCACAGCCTGACAACTGTCACCTCCGGTTGAAACATCACCCCAGGGCAAACCTGACATGCCATCCTCTTCTCGTGGGAAGGGCCATGGAACCATCTCCCACTGGCTCATTTCCTATTTAATTCATTGCAATTCTCTAAATTAGGTGTGAGCCCTTAAGCGCTCGGAGCTAGGGAGGAGATATGTGGAGATGGAAGCCCCTGCCCTCGAGGGGGTTAACAGTGTTGCAGAAAGGCACACATGGAGACACCTATAACACTCCACAAAGTGAGTTCAGTTACATAAGCTCAATGACAATGCTGTGACAGCACAGAGGAGTAAGGAAAACAGGGGACAGCTCCCTGGATGGGGTGTCAAGTAAGTTAGATCTTGAAGGGTGAGTAGGGGTTTTACATTGTTGAGGGAAGATCGTGAGAGGAAGTAAATGTGTAGCAAAAAAGCCAGATAAAAGGCAGCGTATTAGTCAGGAATCTCTAGAGAAACAGAACCAATTGGTGTGTGTGTGTGTGTGTGTGTGTGTGTGTGTGTTTAAAAGTTTATATAGAAAGAAATTTATTATAAGGAATTGGCTCAAGCAATTATGGAGGCTGACAAATCCTGAGATCTGTGGCGGTCATCCTGGTCATGCTGGAGACCAAGAAAATCTTCAGTCCAAGTCCAAAGGCAGGAAAAACCCAGCATTCCAGCTCAAAGGCAGGCAGGCAGGAGGAGTTCCCTCTCAGCTTTTTTGTTCTATTCATGCCTTGAACAGATTGGATGGGACCTACCCACACCACCAGGGAGGGCAATCTGCAGTACTCTGTCTGGTTTACCAATTCAAATGCTGATCTCATCCACAAACACCGCCACAGAGAAACACCCAGAATGATGTTTGGCCAAATGTCTGGGCACCCTTTGACCCACTCAAGTTGACACATAAAATTAATCATCACAGGCAGGAAGGCCCAGAGGAGGAGAATCTGCTCAGGGAATGGGAAGGTCAGGAACAGGGAGGCTGGAATGTGGATTGCAAGGAGGTCACGAGTGAAAGAAAACTCCAGAATGCAGCTGGGACTGTATGAAGCAAGTCAGAGGGAAAACATCACTGGTCACGCGTGCAGGATGGAGTGGAGGGAACAGAACTACCACAAGGAGACCCATTGGGAAGTGACCTCAGTAATCTAACCTGGTGGAAAGAGATGCCTGAACTGGGGCCCTGCTGGGTACCGAGTGGACGGTTCCATCCATCTGCTGGAGAAGGAGGTGGAGGGGCCAGGCACTGATGATGGCACACAGAGGCTGGGGGAGGGGTGGAACCAGCCTCTTGGCCTCCTCCTGGCCCCCTACTCTCCATTCGCACCACATGGAGGCACAGGACCAAGAGGGCCCAAGGTTGGAGGTCTGCTCGGCTTGGCCATCACCACCCTCCAGGGCAGCTGCACCTCCCCAGCATCCCTGGGAGGAGCTGCCATTGTGGAGATGGTGCTGTGAGAGCTCAGGCAGGACGCAGGCCCCCAGGAAGCCAGAGCAGCAGCCAGGCTGGCAGAAGACATCATGTGAGCAGTCAGTTGAGGGCATCCTCAAAGGGGACCACTCCCCGCAAAGTGTCATATGCACAGAGCCTGTTCACAGTGTGCTGCACTGAGACCTACTGAGGGGAAACAGCCTGTTCTGGAGCTTGGCTTTTCCACAGTGATACGTGAACATATTAAATAATGGGGAAAGTATATTTAAAACAGTAACACTAACATTTGGACAGCACTTTACATTTTACAAGGCAGCTTGCACATAGATGGTCACAGAATCCTCACACACACCCCATTTGTGCAGGGGAGATCTACTTAGGGAGGTTGGGTGGCTTGCCCAAAGTCGCCAGCTAGCAAGTGATGGAACCACTGATGTAATCCCAACGCCACGCGAAGAAACAAGTGGTGTCTCCTCTGCTGAGGGTCAGTGGGCAGAGAAAGATCCCCCTTGAAAACCCCCAGAGAGCCCATTTTGGGGGATGGGGGACATGCCCCAGGAAGGGCCAGCCACACTTCCCTGCCTGTCCCAGGAACACAGCTGGCTGTGGGCCTCCAGGGGTCTCTGAAGGGCCACTGACTTTGCCCGGTGCTTTCAGTCATATTGGGAGCTGGATTCCAAGCTCCTCAATCCACGAGTCCCCATGCCCAGCCTCTGAGAGTCCAAAGTGCCATCAAGGGCATGGGGTGGGGCTGACTGTATGGACTGTCCTGGCCACCCAATTCCCAGACACTGGCCCTTCCCCGACCCTGCACAGGCCATTGCAGTGTCGTGCCTGTGCCTTGGGCTCTCTGCCTTCTGGCTCGTGTGAACACCCAGGAAAGCTCCTGAATGTACACTTTCACCTTCACATGCGCTCCTAGCATGGGAGGTGACACTCCCTCAGAAACAGAAATAAAGGCACAGAACATGCCCACTCCTGTGTGGCCCTCACCATCACCCGCAGCCCCCAAGCCAGCCCCACTTCACTTTCTAACCACTGAAAGTGTGACGACTGAAGCACGATGCCACAAACACAAAACAAAGACATTATCTTTTTCTCAAGTTTTATTTTTAATTGGCAAATAACAACTGTATATATTTATGGGATACAATGTGATATTTTGTTACGTGTGTATATGTGGAATGGTTAAATCAGGCTAATTAACGTATTCATCGCCTCAAATATTTATCATTTCTTTGTGTTGAGAACATTTAAAATCCTCTCTTCAGTAATATTTGATCATCACATATTGTACACAAATACTGACAGTCAACTTTGAGCCCCACAAATATGTATAATCAATTATGTTTCAATTAAAAAATTAAAATTAAATCCTCTTTTCGCTATTTTAAATATATAATATATTATGATTAACTATAGTTGTTCCTCCTGTCTAATTGAAACTTTCTAGCCTTTGCCCAGCATCTCCCTTTTCCTTGCCTGCCCTTCACGCCCCGCCTCTGATAACCACTATTCCACTCTCTACTTCTTTGAGTTTGATGTTTTATATTCCACATATAAGTGAGATCATTATTTGGCCATTAAGTTGCTTAATTTCTCTCCTCCCACTGTACTCCCAGAAGGAATCCTGAATCCCCTTTCCTAAACCCTTTCCTAGGCCTGTTTTCTCTCCCTCTGGTTTCGAGCTGATTGCTTGGCTCTGAAATTGTCACATATCCTTCTCCGCTGTTAGGGCTTGAAGCTGTCTATATTTTCCACCCACGTTTTTGTCTCCTTCCCTTCCTTCCCCGTTTGATACTACTAGTCCTCTCTTGTGGTTCTGATCCTCTTCTTTTTCACCTTCAAAACAAGAAACTCTCCATCCCTTGCAAAGCCTCTATCGTACACCGAACTGTGTCTGATCCTTAATAGAACTTCTCCAACTTACCCTGTAATAAAACAGCCAACATAGTAGGGGGTACTTACCATGTGTCATACATATTTATGTTTAATCTTCAGTAGATATCAGTATTACCATTCTGTAACTGGAGAAACCGAGGCACAGAAAGG